TTCTTCTTTTCTCTCTTCTGGAAAGAATTCTCTGGCAGAGAACATATTCTGAAAAGCTGCAAGGTCACCTGGGTAGCAGCAATCCCTACACTGAAATCTCTAGCAGGAGAAATGAAAGGATACATCGTGTGCCTGGCTTCCCGTCTCGGGAACACACACTCCATCTCCTGAACAGAGTGCCAGAGTCAAGAGTTAGATGGCAACTTTTTGAGAACAATGGCGCTATGTGAAGTCACCCCTGACCAGGAGAGTGGACCAGGAGATGAATGGAGCCACCAAGACACAGCCCATTGATGGCAACCCCAGGCCCAGAGCCTACACACTTGTGTCCAGTGCTCCTTAAGAATCATTTTTTCCTTTAAACTTTAAGTTTTATGTAAACATAAGTAATTTTATATGACTATTTTTAAATTTATAATGCTTGAATAGGAATCCAAATTCGGGAATTAGCTAAGATGAAGAAGTCCAAGAGGTCCAAGGAAAACCTGCGAAGGCCAATAAGAAGCTGGTCTCTAACACCTCCTGAAAGTCTACCTGTAGTCAGAAGACTCACTGTTAACTACCCAGTGGGAGTCCACAAGCCCTTATCGCCCAGATCCATCCATGGGTATGTGTGTGTCTTCCTTGTTGTCCAGAAACATGGAGCCTACAACTTATACACAGAAATAAAGCAGCAAGGTGCAACGGGCACCTGGCAGCAGGCAGACACCACTGTCACTGTGAAGCACTCCATCCACCCACACAGTCATCCAGTCAGTAACCAAGAAAAGGTAGGTCACCCATGTGGGAAATTAAAATGACCACTAATGAGAAATAATGTAATTAAGATGATGTACTTACTCATAGGGATCATATAAAAAAATCTAGGGAAAACACAGATTTTAAAAAGCAAAGTTTAATTGTACATCTAAGCAAGACTTTTGGTAAGAATTTTGAATAAATTCAACCTCCATATTTTAGTTAACTTCAAACCTTATTTCAAATTATCCTGTCCAACTTGCAATAATACACCAAATATGACAATCTCAAATTGCAATCCACAATTTTTATTGTTGTAAATGATGAAACTAAAAATAGGGAAATAAAAATGTTTAACAATCTTAAGTTTTACCTATCACAAGTGTAAAAAAACAGAATATAATCACTTTGAATCCCAATTACAGCAGAAACCCTTTTATTCTACTGGTGTTGATACAGAGGTTTTTTAAGATAAAAATTCTGCAGCAGGTTTTACTATTTAAATATGATTTAGCACATCACAATTCCAATTGCCACACAGCTCTTTTTGACAACGAAAGGCTCTGCATTTCCCAAAAGTGCTAGGTCAGTAAATCCTTGATGGAACAGCTCAAGTATGAATATGTCATCTGGGCACAGAAACTCATCAAACAGTATGGAAAGTCAGCAAACGTCATCACAACTAGATACAAAGGCTGCTATGAGGGCATTTGGGACGGAAGAGTTTCCTTTGCTTGCTATCCCACACATTTTTGGCTCATTAATCCAAGAGTCTTAAGAAACTGGGCTGAGTCCTGTTCCCCCAGCCCTCTCAGCTAGGCAGCAGGAAAGGTGGCAACTGTCCCCACAACACAGACACTGCCCTCTAGAGGTAGGTTTTTGCCCCACCTGAAAAGTGTGTGCAGCTCTGGTTTCCGAAGACTCCTTTGGCCAAGCAAGCAGATGGAGTGGTACTCAAAACTCCGTGCCCCACACTCTGACTGCTTTTACTGCTTTTTAATCAGCCTTAGAGTAAAATGAGAGAACAATAAAAATGAGCCTCTTATGTGTCACCTAATCCTGTGGCAAATGTCTTCCGACTTGTCCATTCACTCCACCCCCTCCAGCAACAGCACTCACGTAATAATGCAGCAGAATGAAGATCTGCAAATGTCCAGGAGCACCCTCAACGCAGAGGATGGGGAGGACCACTGTGCCGAGCTGGCCTGCCCATCTTCCCTCTACGTTCCAGATGCAGCCCACCCATACATCCAATAGCACTCAAGTAAGATAGTGTTGACGACTGAACCCAGGGCCTCATGCAGGCTAAAAGGGCTCTACCACTGAGCTATACCTACATCCCTTTTAATTTTTGAGACAGGGTCTCACTAAATTGCCCAGTCTGGCCTCCAACTTAAAATCCTCCTGCCTCAGCCACCCGAGTGGCTGGGAATGTGCATCACAACCAGCTGATAATGTTCACTTAAATTTAGAAGTGGACACTGAAGATTGGGAATATATTTCCCTTGAGGTATTCCTGGTAGGAAATTACTGGATATAGTCAAAAGCTAATAACTATATGAAACCAATATCATGAGTGATAAAGAGATTCCCAAACTTTTTCAAGTCATAGCACAAACAGAAAACGATAATAACTGTACATATTCTGGCAAAAAATAGAGACCGCTCTCAGCTAAACCCCCAAAACCTGAAGAGACCATTATTTGATCACAATCAACAGGAAGCTGTGAACTAGCGGGTAAACCGAGGAAAGCCCTCATGAAAAACTGCTGACAAGCATTCACCACTGTCACCTCCTCGTGGAGTCCTCAGCATTCCAGAACCAAGTTCACAAGCGTGACAAGCATGACTTGGGTCCCTTACCTGACGCTGTACAGGACAGGCCTCCCCCTTACTCAACCTCAACCCCGGGGCATGAGACCCTGGTCTAGCAGAACCTTGACCCAGTGGCTGCACAGGTCACCAACATGGTAGGGTCAAGCTGACTCCTGGCCACCGGGGCCAGGTCACAAGCCCAGCAGCACTTTACAGCTCTTGTGAACCTGGACACTATTCTTAGGTTGCTACCTTGGCTGCCTTTCTTACGGAAGAAAAAAAAGAAACTTTTCCACAAGCTTCTCTTCTCCAAGCTGGAGAAATCATGTTTTAAACTTTGAGTTCTTACAAATCACAAGTCCAGAGACTCATAAACATGAGGCTTCTGTTTAATCCCCTGAGGATTCATTCTGATATTTATGGTTCAAAAAAAGTTGTAATGTTGTGCTTGGAACACAGAGAACCAGTTATTAACTTCTTGCTACCATTATAAATAATAACAGTTCGGCCCAGGTTACTGTGACCTCTGATGGATCAAGGAAACGAGTTATTTTCTCCTCGAGATTATAGCACATTGCAAGACTTCTCGCCTTTTAATAAATGTCCTGGTACTCTGAGTTTCCCTTTCAATTCATTTAATTTCAACAATCTGTCAAAAAGAGCCAATAAACAAAACTCAATTACATTCTGTTGCATTTTTTTAAACCCTCAAATTCCAGACTATAAAAACGTCTTGTGTGTCTCCCACCCCAACCACCCTGCTGCTTTTCCACATGCCACAGGCCACCCATCAACACAAAGCCAGGGGGCGAAGCTGACATGTCTACTTGGAACCAGTAGACAGGAGGGCGATGAGTCCTGACGAAGCACTTATGGACAAAATGTAGTTCCTGTGAGAATTTAGTGTTAAGGAAAAGTTAAGAACCCAAAGTTAGTTTTTCAACAAAACTAAAAGCCCATTCCTTTGGAACACACTGCTTCCCTCCTGAAACCCAGTAGAATCTCAATGACATGCAGCCCCATTATCTACAAACCCAACTTACAAAATGGGAGGCTCTAGAGAATGTAAAACACTCACAGGGAATGTTTCCATTTTTAAAACTAAACAGAGATGAACCTAGAACACAT